GGGTACAGGCTCCATGGGAACAAAGCATTTCTCGTCTTCTTTGCCATCTGTGGTCCCCTTTCGATTTGCATTTGTTTCTTCATTCCCCAAGACTTCAGATTGATTTGTAACTTTTTCAGGTTGAATAGTGGAGAAGACTACCTTTACCTTAGTCAAACCTTCTTCTGGCTGCGTTTCTGAATCTTTTGTAGCCTTGGTAGCACTGATATGGACTTCATCATCCAAGTCATACTCGAAATCCCCATAAATATCTGTATCAGGAATGGTATGTATGTCTAAAACATTATCTGGACCTACCTCCCTGGCTCTGTCCAAGGAACTGTCTCGAGGAACTTCGGTTGAATGAGTCGGGCTGTTTGGAGGTGAATCAGCAAGACCTGCTGCTCTGAGCGCTTCAAGGACAGCTGGATCATCTGAATTTTTATCACCAATACGTTCTGATCCGTTATCACCCAGTGGTGATGAAGAATTTGGTTCTACAGCATTATTTTCCATCGCTTTGCTCTCTGAATGGTGCAGTATTTCTTGTGAGCATAGATTCAAATACACAACTTTGCTACTTGATTTATCAGCGATTGCCTTCTCGATATTTATAGCATCAGCAACCGCTAGTTCAGTCACTGCGGTTCTTCGAACAGCCAGAAGATTTTCTTTCTTTAAGAGATGTTCTGTCAGGCGGTATAACTGTGTCTGCAGAGACAGCAATTTGCTTAAGAACAAGAAGAAGCACACCAGGACATAATAAAGCTAGCTACCCCATGAATTATGATGTTAGTATTGTTTCAGCAGGCGAGTCAATAATAAATTATCCCCAATTCTCTGTATTGCCATCTTAACGTATATAACAGATGAAGCTAGCTTGACAAGCATGAAATCCTGTATTTCTCTCCGAGAAAATAACATTGATCCACGAATTGAGACCAAAAAATAAACCTTGTATAATCACAATCTTACAAACATTAGAGAAGATCTCTTGCATAATTCCCAAGCACGAGGTATACCTCCCTCTTATATGTGTATCTCTCTACTAACCGTAATGTGTACTAGAATAGCTCAGCTAATTCTACCACTTAACCTAGAATTAACAAGAAAATCGAAAAAGTGACCTCTCCTTTAATGTCTGGAACACAAATAACTTATTATGCTCCTAGTAATCAATACCACGAGGAACTTGAATTTTAAGTAAACAGCTAATCACGTACCTGCCTAACTGCAACAGGAACTTTATTATGGCGACTGGTCGCAAGGTTCGGTTTCATATCAGCTGGAAGTTGAGCCTGATAACAATCACAGAAAAAAAAAAAACAAGCAACAATCTCAAAAGACCAGATTTGTTAAAAGCGACAAAGTAAGGGCCGCGAATTACGCACCAACAATGGATAATTTCCTTTGAGCTCAGGAGAGCCTTCTTTTTCTTGGGCTGAGTTGTTGCCAGCTAAAGCTTTCTTTCTTGCAAGAACCTGCAATGCCCATTTCCTTTTGTCTTTCTTCAATTCATCTGAGTTCTCAAATATGTCCTTAGAGTTCCTTGATGTAGAATTAGATAGCCCATCCAACTGTTTTGATCCAGCAACTTTTAAGCTGCTCCCTTTGGCATCACTGATCTTTGGTAAGGTCTTGTTCGCTTCTGTGGTTTTTGCATTGTTTTGAGAGTTCCCTGTTTCTTTTAATGCCAAAAGAGGCTTGATATCGTCGTTTCTCGGGAACACAGAGGTATCTGCTAAATACAATCTGGAGAGAATAGGATTTGAAGCCTGTGGGGTTTCCGGTGAAATGTTTATTTTGGCGTCATCTGGTTTCTTCTTCAAGAGGCTGAGAACAGACTTCAGAGTCTCAATTTTTTCAGGCTTTGTAGTTTTTATGCACCGATGCTTCCAAAACTCGACTTCACAGTCTCGGTGCCATGCACTTTTCCGCTTTCCATTTGAGTCTGCATAAATTTTCTTCGTGAGATTTTCTCGAACTTTTCCTTTCTGCAGCAACAACTTCTTTGCCTTCACTGCCAGAGCTGAAAGTTTTCTAGGTGTTTCATCAGTTTTAGGTCCTGCCACAGCAGCTCTAAATGCAGCCAAGAGTTTTGGATCAAATTGATTTGTTCTGATGTCTTCCATCGATTTGTTACGAACAGCTTCTCTTATTTCTTTCCTTAGTTTCTCAACAAGAACCAATGACTCTTTATCATCTGCCATTGTTCTCTTAATCTTCTTTACCCTCAACCCCGCAACATTCTCTCCTTCTGAAGACTTATCAGTAGGATTTGGACGCATGGGATTCTGTTTACGCCCTGTTCCTTTGACAATGCTGAATATATCAACAGTTGTATTGTTTGAAGGCGATTTAGGCTCCGGCTGAATGGTAGCTATTTCTTCAATTTCCTCAAGTTTTGGTTTATTGATCGATTCTGCAATCTCAGCCTTGGTTTCCGAGTTGTCATCATTACCACTGATAAAGAAACGCCACAATGAGATGACACACACTCAAACATTTGAAACGAAGCAGGGTAAAGAAGGAATGATGGTACCAAGAAAAGAAAAGAGATCATTTGTGAAACTGACCTGCAATCTGAGTGCTTTCTCTTTAAGCTAATAACACTAGCAACATCTGAATTGGAAATGGCTTTACTGGAAAGAGCTGAAAACACACATTAAGTACATCAGACTATGAACTACGCAGATGCGGATAATAAACCAATTGCATTTGGCCATAAAATGGAAGACATGAAACAAAGGGCAGTATGTTTCTTACGTTCTTGATCATTTACCAACAGACAATCCTTCTCTACAAATCTTGTAACGGGGTCGACTGTTGCATAAAATGGTTAAATTATTACCCAGCAGAAACAAGGGGCAAAGCATATTGAGAATCTTTTTTTTTTTTGAAGCACTCATATTGAGAATCTATTCATGTTAAGAAATTACAACTAAGTCTCAAAGAAAATTGTATTACCACCAAATTAACTCTTGTTCAATCGAAATACCTGATCTATTCTCCATGTGTGCAGCAAACAATGGCTGATTTGAATCAGAAGGTAATCCAGATGATATATCGGATTTTTCTGGGACATGCTCCGTGTTTTCCTTCTTACAACATATTTCCAGATGCGAACTTTCAGGGTCTCTGTCCATGTTAACTTGAACTGATGATGGGGTATTATCATTTGGTTTCATAAGCCGCTCATCTCCTTTAACTATTGATACGACAAGAGCTGTCTCGCCATCATCAGCGACTGTAACTGAAAAATTTCCAGCGTAAACAGCCTCGGCTGAGCACCCGCTATTTGTCCTCTCTGAAATATCTGGGGACTTTCTTGTCTCCATTGGTGAAGCATCAGGTTCAAGTGGTTTTTCACTAGAGATGCATCTGTGGATACAAAGCAACGGAATGTAGATCATGAGAAGATAGATGAAAAACATAGAGAAGGGAAAGAATCATATAGCAGAGTATTAGATTTAGCTAAGATTTAGTACGGTGTGCCCTTTTTAGTTAAACATAGGGCTGGCACACCGAAAAGATTAAACAATTCAATGGAAACTCTCCCATAATATATGTTTGCCTAAAAGGCTAATACTAACAGAGACAATTAAATGAGGGCGACCTAACGAAATTTATCAAATCATGAATTTAGCAATCATTTATAGTCAATACGCCAAGGAAACCTACCTCGGACATATCCATGTATCCTCTGAGGCGATTTCCAGATCAAAACCCACACAAAGGGCATGATACCTGTTAGCACATAGCAAAGCAACAATCAGAAGATAATGTTCAAAAACATAGTACCATACTACCATATAAGAATGCTCTAAACATGAACAATCTAGAACTACACAAAGGAAAGAACATGCGTGCATAGGAATAAAAACACCAGTATTTTTTTCGTACTTAAGTCATATTATAAACTTCTTTCCTGCGATAATGATAGCATTTAGAAACCGGTAGGACTACTAGAAACTAGAACTTCACGAGTCAATGAATTTCAGTGATTGAAAATAGGAGGTAAAAACAACAATGAAGAATGTACCAAAAAAAAAACAACCAACAGATAATAGTTACCATATGTCACATGAATCACAAGCAATTGATGTATCAAGGCTGGAATCACCCCCAATGCTACTGAAGCTGTTACGGATCTTGCAAAGATCTCCATCTAAACAGATAACTGCCTACAAAATGATTAGGAATGCTTAACGTACTTTGTAGTGACTTGGGAAACCCATGTATTGATATACTTACATCTTCGTCAATATAGTGTGATGGAGAAGAGACAGCGTCAGTCTCCTCTTCCATGCACCAATCTTCATCTCTGCATGTATTTGATAGTTTAGCTTAACATCAGCAGATCACAACATTTCTTTTTTTAGCACATACAGTAATCTATGGTACACATGAACTTTTATCACCTTTTCAACCACTTGATCATGCTATGCTATGCCGTTTAGTATAAATTTATCATGATAGGCCACTCATAAACTAAGACAAAGACACTACTTAGATTGTTCAAGCAGGTAAAGTTCATGACAAAAACTGACACGAGAAGAAAAAAAACATGAATATAGTACCCTGATAATGAAACCTCATCCACCTTGCTGCTTTCACCTGAATCATACACCTTCACAATAATACCAAAAAAAAAACTCATTATCTAACCCAAGAGCTCCACTAACAAAACGATGAGAAATGTTCAGTCTGCTCAAATGCGAGAGTACTTACAGGGACACATGTAATTAACTGAAACTCTCTCTGACAGAGAGGGCAGAGGTTCATAATCGTAGACCAATTATCAATGCACTCAAAGCAGAACCTGAAAATCTCACCAATCAAATTAATCAGACATAGAGACACCACTTGTTAGTCTGCTCCGTCTAACAAACACATAAAGGGGTAAAGATTGCAACAATTGTTCTTCCAAGAACTGAGATAACTCAAACAGCTCTACAACTTTTATAAGATTAAAAAAAAGAGACAATGGTAAGAGAGAACAAGGAATTACCAGTGCTGACAACAATCAAGAACGCCTCTATCAATAATTATATCCATACAGATCCCACATCTTTCCCCTTCAATTCCAGACATATCCTGTTCAAAAACAAAAATTGAAAAATCACAATGAGAACTCATGAACTAACCCACTTTGTCAAAAACTAACATCATCAAAAATCAAATGCTTTTGTTCATTGTTCTAACTCTGAAGCTACACATAAACAAAATTCTTTTGCAAGAGAGAATCACTAGTTTAATGATAGACCCACATAACAAATTCAAAGAGAAACGATGAAAATAGCTCAGAAAGTGGAAGTTTACACTAACATTATGCCCAACTTCAGCACCTTCATCTTCAACCAAGTTACTAGCGTCATAATCGAGCTCCATTTTTCTGAAAAATCTACATGAAAACAAAAGATAAAGTGATCAAACATGAAATCGATTTCCTCGACGAGAACGAGCCACGAGAAACAAAAATAATTTCAGATGAAAGTTCTGTAAAACCCAACCACCCACCTACCTTGGATCAAAAGCTTACGAACAGTCAGAGAAGAAATCTCAGAAACCCTTGATTGAAAACAAAAAAATCTTCGACGAAAAGGCGAAGCAGCGGAAATACGAAGAT